ACAAAAGGCTGCGTCCCCCTCCCCGCGCCCGCCGTACCCTCCATGGTGACGGACGTGTGGCTCTCCTTCGAGTCCTTGGGGCCCTTCACCTTCAGCTCCTAGGGAAGGAAAGGGCCATCAGTGCAGCCCGCGGGGGGCTGGGGGTGGGGGTAAGGTCATTGCTCAAGATCATGGGGTCCCCCCAACCCTTTCTGCACCCTGATATTTCTCCCCGGCCCCAGCCTGGCCATGCTGGGGGCCACACGTGGGTGCTGGGTGGAGGTGTGGGCTGTACAGGATGCTGCCTGGCTGGGAGCAGCTCTGGCTGTGCCCAGCAGTTGGGATGATGTGGTGGTGATCCCACCCAGATGAACAGCTCTGCTGTGGAGGGGCTGGAAAGAGCAGGGGGCCGTTGCAGCCACGGAGGTCTCTGTTTCTATAGGGGAGCCAGGCACGGAGCTGCAGCCAGCAGGAGACAGGAGATGAGCCACAGGTGCCCAGCACCCATGGTCACTGGATGGGGCGAGCTGGTGCAGGCTGCCCTGGCACCCCTGACACGGTGACAGCGAGGGCTGAGCCCAACCTGAGCTTGCACAAGGTGAGGGACAAACTCCTGCAACGCCCAGAGATCACAAGCCCCCAGCAGAGCCACCGATGGCTCAGCCCTTGGGGCCAGTCACTGGGAGTCCCCAGGGCAGGGAGAGCATCTCCACAGGGCAGTCGCAGTCAGCTCAGCCACAGGAATAGCATTCTCTGCCCTGTCCTGGGACAGCCTGGGGAACACCCTTGTCCCACTGGCACAGCCCTATCCCAGCTTACCTCAGAGATCTTCTGGAACTGGTAGTTGCTCTGGCTGCACTTCTCTGCCGTCTCCAGGGCGATTTTGTAGTTATCCACAAAGGCCTTGTAGACGCCCAGCTGGCTGGCCTGCGAGGAGCAGGGGTTAGCAGGGCACCCAGCAGGATGCTGAAGCCCCCCTGCAGCACAAGGAGCCTGGCAGCCCCTCAGGGCACTCTGTCCAGAGTTGTCCCCTCCTGGCAGGACACTGCCACACCACAGCCATCTGGGCAGCCACACATTTGGCTCTGCAGGGAAAGCTCTTGCCCAGGGCAGGACGGTGGGGCTCCTGTCCAGTCCTGTGCCCCCACAAAGCTCCAAAATCCAACAGAGAGATAACAAGTGCCTAGAGAGTAGAAGCTGAAGCGACAACTGCTTTCTACTGCCCTTCAACCCACCCTCTCCTCCTCCTCTCCCCAGCATGGCCACAGCACCCATGGGCACAGCCCATGCTCCCACTGTACATCCAAAGCAGCAGCAGGACCCGGCCCTCCTTCTCTTCCAAGTGGAGCAAGACCTGAGGAAGGTGCATACCAGCTTCTGGAAGAGGTGGCCCATGGTGACGTTGCTGTCCCACTGCTGCACCTTTGGGCATAGGCTGTCATAGAACTCCTTGTGGATCTCATAGATGTCCTGGATCTTGTAGAAAATCGTCTCGATCTGCTGCAGGGTGAGGACAGGCTGTGACGTGGTGGCCGTGGCCTTCAGTGGCTTCATGGGCTGCCGAAGGAGAAGGGAGAGCATTTAAGATGAGGGCTGGGAGGGGAACGCTGGGGACAAGGAGGATCTGAGTCAGCAGCAAGGGCTGCCCAGGACAGGTCCCAGCCAGCAGCTGCACCAAGGGGTACTCTGGGCTTGTGCATCCCCGCAGACTTCCCCGTGGTGGTGACCCCGCATTGTGCAGCCGTTTCTCGGCCACGAAGGTCAGCGAGTCCACAAGAGGAAGCAGGGCTATAAATACCTTCCCAACGGGCAGCGGGGAAGGTGAGATGGGGGCAGCAAGGCTGGCTCCAGTGTGGCTCCTGAAGCTTTGCCCCCACTCAGGCAGCACCCAGGCCAGACCTGCCTGGGGAAAGCTGTCCAGGAAGAAATTACTCCATCCATCCATCCACCCATGCCTGCTGGGGACCATCCCTGGAGGGGCTGTCCAGTCTGGGGGCTGTGCTCACCAACAAGAGGGCCTCCAGCTGGTTGATGTAGATCTCCTCACTGGCCAGGAAACCTGAGAGCACCAATTTCCGCATCTCCAGGCCTTTGCCAGCCTCTCGCTCGCCCTATGGAACACAGCAAGGAGCCTGGCTGAGCCAGCAAGTGGCACAGGAAGAGACAGACACCCTATCCCACCAACCCATCCCTGGCATCCCCACATGGGCACATGTCCCTGCCGGTGCTGGGAAAGCTCCGTGGAAGGCCCGGGCATGTGCCCGAGGGGCAGCAGAGCCCAGCTGGAGCCAGCTGGGAAGCCACGAGCTGTGCTGGCTTCTCTCCCCTCCCTGCTCCTGGCTGGCCAGGAGCCCGGCACGGCTGGCAGCGCTCCAGGATGGCGCACAGCATGGCAGGACTCTCCCAGGGCAGAGTCCAGAGACGCCCAGTGAAATCATGCTTGGCATGGATGGTGCTGCCACGTGATCCGGCACCACCCTTTCCCTCGGCTGAGGTTTTCCCAGGAAAGTGCCACCCCAGCAGTCACTGCCTGGTGGCTCTGGGGCAGCGCCCAGGTCTGCTGCAACACTGATGCTCTGGTGGCATGACTCCCATGGCAGGGAGATGGCTGGGCTGGGGGGCTCTGTGACCCTCAGTGAGGCTCTCCCAGTGTCCAGACATGGGTGCCCCAGCCCCTGGACCATCCTGTCATGCTTTAGTTTCCCCCCCTTAAAAATCACACTTGAGGACCAGGCTTTTGCTACCCAGACAGGAGCCAAGCACAGCCATGGGGGCATCAGTCACTCTGGGCCATCAGCCATTCAGAATGGTCTGAGGGGGACATTGGTTCTGCCTCACCTCTGCCCACACCAGCCCTGGCCGTTGTGCCAGGAGAGGTGACAGCTGCAAACACCAGAGGGGCACAGAAATTGGGCATGGCTGTGGAGCAGCACCTCCCTGTCCCACTCTTAGTGTCCATCAGCTGGCCCTGGGGGTTGCTGTGCCAACCAGGGTGCCCAGCCTGCCAGGCTGCACCATTAAGGCTGGGCCACAGTGACTGGTGCAGCAG